ATCCGATTTGATTCAAACTTGATACATCGTAATATTGTTATCGAACTTGGATCGAGTTCGGAGATGGGCAATATCGGTCCTTCTGTTAAACCCCTAGCCCCCGAAAAAGGTCAGCATTTTCATAAAAAAATACTGCACAGCGAAAGAATAATCAGATTTTGCCCCAACTTTGCAAATCCTAATATTTGCATCAGTGCTAGGTCAGGTGAGAAAATGGACAATATCGGTCCACTCCATCAAGTACCTCCCCCATAAAGGGTAACATTTTTGAATAATTTTAACTCTTATAAAATGTGATGTAAGAGTCCAATAGTCTTCAAATTACACAAATCGCAGTATTTTTTTAACCCAATGTCTGGTGTAAAGATCCACTCTTTTCTGATACATCCCCCCAAAGGTTCACAATTTTAAATATCCATGAAGCTCATAAAACGTGAAATTAACATTCGATTCCATTCAGACTTGGCACATCTCAATATTTCTTTCAATACAACATCTGTTATAAAGATGGTTGAGATCGGACCATTTCTTTTGGTACCTCCCCACAAAGGATCAAAATTTTAAATAACCAAAACGATCATAAAATGCGAAATAAACAGCCGGTTGTCTCAAAATTTCGCACACCCCATTATTTCAACTAACACAAGGTCAAGGTTGTGAAGATGGGATATATCGGCTCTCTTCTTCTGGTACCTTCCCCGCATAGGGTTCAAGATTTTGAAAAACAAAACGCTCCAAATCTCTTTAAATTTCCAACATACAAACATTTTTGCTAACACAAGATCTGTTTTGAAGATGATATTGAATCTTCTAAGCCCTTCTGGTAGCTTACCCACAAAGGGTCGCAATTTTCAATACTCTTATCTATCATAACTTGCGAAACAAGTCAGCGATTCTTTACAAAATTAAAAAAAATAAATATTTCTCTCAACCAGAAACCTGAGATGAATACGGAATTTATGATTTTGCATAAAATAGGATATAAATATTCGATTTTTTTGTAATTTTGCCTATACCAATACTTTTATCGTCGATCTATGTCTGGTACCTCACGCAAATTTTAACTTTTTTCAAAAGTTATCACATATCTCATATGATGTGAAGGAAGTTACCAATATAGTCCAGAGAAGTCAAAATATATTTAAATAATCGAACATTAAGGTAAGGTAACATAAGAACATACGACTATGCTGCAGTAAGCCATGCTAGCATTGAATTCTGTCCCTCGACATGAAGTGCAAAATGCTTTCCACTCATTTTTTTGTTTTCGTATTTTGTTGAAAGTGTCGTTTTATTTAGCATTTGATTATTTTGAAATCAAATGAATTTTAATGGAATTTTATTTTATTTATTTTATTCTTCTTCGTTTCCATTTTCTTTACGTTCTTCAGCGTTGTCGTTTAATGTTGTTGTTTTTGTCGGCATCTACTTTCCCATTTGCAAAGTTTTATGGTGGTGGTGGTGCTGTGCTGCTGCCGCTGTTGTTGTCGTCAATTTCAGTGCCGCCGTGTTGTAGGTATATATTTATGTACGTGTATATATTTTTTTTTTCGCCGTTTCTAATTTGAATAAATTGCCATAAGGGTTGTTTACATAAATACATTTGCATACATTTGTATTTTGCAGTACAACAACAAAGTAAAGAAATACTCATTCAACCACTACAACAACAGCAGCAACAACAACCACGTCATTATAATAAAATTCTATTTGGTCTATAACTATCTAAAAATATAAATAAATAAATAACGCACAAGACAACAACAACAACTACTATTCGTAGTAGTAGGAAGGGAAAGTGGGTTGCGCAAAGAACCCCCATTTGAATATTCTTTGAATTTGGGTGAAACTTGCTTACCTTGTTAATATTTCGACTTTAAGGAATTGCAACCACATCCATTTCTTGTTGGGAGTCCTTTAGTTAGTTAAATGCCAAGTTTTAATTTAATTGGTCATTCAAGGCGATTTTTTGGCTTCAAATCTACTTGAAACTCATGGCGATGTCAGTCGAAACTGTAATAAGGTACTCAATTTCAAGTGTGCAATAAATGAAATAACAGCTTAAAAACTTTCAGAAATGTGATGTAAGCTGTGGCCATGTAGTATGCCTTGAAATTGAAAAACTGAATTTTAGTTTTACCTCTTTTTAATAGGCATGTAAACATATTTTAGCCATATTGAAATAATTAGGCCTTATTTTGTGATAAATCTATCTATCTTTCCGATAGATAAGATGAAACATGTTGTCGGACAAATAAAGTTTCATTTAAATATGAGCTGTCTGATTAGCAAAAGGTCAGTCCATTTTCCTTTTTTCTTTTAACCATGGTAGAAAAAGACAGGTAGGTAGATGCATCAATGCTTGGGCACATTGATACGTCATATATTTTAAAATGTTTTTTAAAAATAAGTAAATTTTATAAGTTTTCTTATTCGACACCATTTGGAGATTGTTATGACATGCATTTTTCAACAATTTTTAAAAATTTAACTAATTTTTCATTCAAAATTTTCAATTTTAAAATTGGTTTGACAGTTCATTGTCGTAGCAGTCGATGCGACTACCTATATTCTTGTACCATGCTTTTAACATAAAATTTTTAAATTCATGTTGCCATATTTGAAATGAAAAATTATTTAAATTTGTAAAAATTGTTGAAAAATGCATATCAAAACAACGTCCGTTACGCGCCGTATAAGAACACATATAAAAATCTATTTATATCTGAAAATCCAACAGTTGATGCATCTATCTGTATTCTTCTACCATGGCTGAAAATTAAAGATTGCAAATTTTAAATAAAACCTATGGTAGAGGAATACGCTTAACAAAACTGATATGTCAAAATTTTAACATGATTTTCAAAAATAAGTAGATTTTTATATGTTTTCTTATACGACGCCAATCGGTGGATGTTGTGATATACATTCTTCTAAAATTTTAACGAATTTGAATAGTTTTTCATTCAAAATTCTCAATTCCAAAATTGGTTTGATAGTTCATTGCCCCAGTAGCTGAAACATATGTTGGCGTCCAATTTAAAAATTGGTCGTTTGACAAGAAATATACATCGAACATATTTTAAAGGAACACTTGATTAAAATAACTATTGCATCAAAAATATAGTATTTTCGAAAACGCGGGTCAGACCGTGCCAGGCCTAACTATTCTAAGAAACAAATTATGAATGGGATCTAATATTTAATATTGGCATAATTCAAAGATATCATTCAAAGGAATGTCAAAGCATATATTTCAAGAAATGCCTCAGTTATAGTCAAGTATTTTTGGAAAATGTATTGATTGTCCCGGTTTGAAAAAATATGCCAGAGATTTTGCATTAATTTACGAATATGTTTTTCAAAATTTTAAAGTTTTTCAAATTCGTCGTGATTTTTTCTGGTTATCCAAATATGCACTTAAAGAAGGTGCAGCTAAACGCATATCATTGTTTCTCCCATTATAAGCTAGACATATACATTTGAGTTCAATTATTGGAGAGATTTTTGGAGCGGGTAATCCAAATTCTAATTTAAACAAGAAAAAAAGAAGTTAAGTTCGGCCAAGCGGAACTTTTAATACCCTCCACCATTAGGAACGATTTTGGCAATTTTCAAAAAAAATATAAAATCCGTTAAAAATTCTGTTAAAATCTTAAAAATAGCGAATATAGCAGTTATATTAGGGTCTATACGACGACGTGGATCTTCATAGGCCACTTTTGTTATAAACCATTACAATATTCAAATGCGAAACTTGAAAAAAAAATCGGTGAAAAATGTAGCTAAAATTACCAAAATTCAATAATACCATTGTATGGGGGCTATACGAAGACGTGGACCTGCACAGAACATTTTCTGTCATAGGCTGTAGTAACCATTACGAACTTCAAATACCAAATTTGAAACAATTCCGGTGAATAATGTCCCTAAAATCATCAAAGTACCGAATATCGGGAGGTACAGTTATATGGGGGCTATACGAAGCCGTGGACCTGCACAGACAATTTTCTTTTATAGGCTGTAGAATCCGTTACGAACTTCAAAAGCTAAATTTGAAACATTTCCGGTGAATAATGTCGCTTAAATCACCAAATACCGAAAAAAGGGAGGTACCATGATATGGGGGCTATACCAAAACGTGGACCTACATCACCCATTTTTTTAATACCAGCAGTCCTGCAGACATAATACACATTTGAGTAAAATTTTATCAACCTACTTATTTTCGTTCGGAAGTTAGAGTGATTTCCACAGACAGACGGACTTTGCTAATCGACATAGAATTTTATGCTTATCAAGAATATATATACTTTATGGGGTCTAAAATGTATATTTCGAGGTGTTACAAACGGAATGACAAACTTAATATAGCCTCCATACTATGGTGGAGGGTATAAAAAGAGGGTATATTTTGTCGATTCTTTTCCAAGTTCAGTTGAATGATTGGCCATTTCTGGAGAGCCGAAGAACAGTTCGAAAAAAGAGGGTATAAAAAAGTGGGTATATTTTATGGATTATTTTTCAAGTTCAGCTGAGTAATTTGGACATTTCTAGAGAGCCGAAGAACAGTCCGATAGAAACCACTTTACCAGGGTTAATCGGTTGGAAAGGGATCCGAACATCTATCCATCAATTTCCAGCTGCGGACTTGAATCTTCTTTGCGATCGGATTATTTACGACATATTTAATTTATACGATTGTTTTCGTTGAAAAGGATTTTAAAAATTTTCTTCAAATAATAGGAGAGGTGTCAGATCCAAAAATTATTTCATTTAGTTGAGTAAACTAAAATCAATTCATTTTAAGGATTCTTGATGTTGAAAAGACTTACATCGAGAGGCAGAGTTGTCGGTTAGTTCTTATTTAAAATTCGTTATAAAAAACATTTTAAATTTTTATAAAATGATCATGTAACTTCATGGTTGAAGTTATTTTATAGCGAGTATGTCTTTATAATTTTTAAAATAAATATTTTTTTAATAATAATCAAACTTACATTTAGGACTTCTTTTCTATTTTTTTATTCCAATTGTTGTCACGTTTGTTGTTGTTGTTGTCTTTTCTAAAGCTAGCTTTCTTTATTCGAGTTTTAAGTTTGTTGTTTCCTCGTTTATTTTTGTAATTTCATTATTTATTGGACTAAATTTGAAAACTTAGTTTCCCATATGGATATTTTAAAAATAGATTGCACATGTTTTTGTTGTTGTTGAAGTTGTTGTTTGAGTTGTTTTTTTTTTGTAATAAAATATGTTTAATATTATTTTTTTATTTAATTTACTATTTCACAACACTAGAGAATAAGGGGGGAGAGAAAAAAGATATAAAATAAATTTAATAATAAATTTAGTCATAAAGCAGAGAGACCAACACTTTTCAGCAGCTATTTCCTATTGGCATTTTGTGTTAATTGATAAACGTGGATGGATGGAGTGGCCTATTTTCTTTTTTTTTCTGTTGTTTGTTTGTTAAACGCTTTTGATTGCTGAGATTTTCATTAACAATTTAAACAAATTGTCCCACTTTAAAAGAAAAAAAAAAAGAGACTGAAATGAATGATGTTAATGTTGATTGAGTAGATTTTTTAATGCTTTCATTTCAATTTTTCATGTTGTTGTTGCTGTCGCACATAACTAGGTTGTCACTATTAATAATAACAATAATATTTATATTTGTATTTTTTTTAATAAATGTGAGTGAGTGTAGCGTAGTAGCAATTGTTGTGGCTGTTTGCTTTACTCAGTGTATTTAATTTTTTTATTTAACTTTTTTATGGGCTGGTATTTTGTTGCTGTGATGATGTTGAGGGCGTTTTTGCCCGGAATTTATGTTGCCAGAAATGATGAATGAATCAACGTAGGAATAAGAATTGTGCATGTGCGTTGTTTTTTGTGAACAGCTGTTTGATGCTTATTTTTTGCAAAATATTATTAATGGTTTTTAAGGTAATGGAGAGGGGCTGGCACGCTTAACTCCCAGCAGGTGTTATGTTATGTTCTTCACAAAAGGAGAATTATTTAATTTTATTGTTGTTTTTGTTTTTCAGATAACAATAATCGGGGTTTGGGGCTTATTCCTGCACAAAAGATTTGTTGGCATGACCACTGATTTTCTTGCAACGGAAACGGATGTAAACAATCACTTCGATTTCACTCTTCAACACACTCACTCACTCACTCCTGTACCTATTTCAGATATTATTTTTTGAATTTTTTTTTGCTTGCCATTGCATAAAATAATTATTTTATGTTTCACTCACAAAATCTAAAATAAAAATTCGAATGTCGTTGATTTGTTATTCTTATTCATTACACGGCCAATTCACAATTCAATGTTGTTGACACTGTTCAATGTTGTTGGTGTTGGGATTTCCTTCCTGTTATTGTATTTCTTTTTTTTTTGTTTTTGCTCACTTGTTTTCATTTCTTCGCCTTAATACAAATCATTATGTTTTGTTTTTTTTTTCTTTTTTTTTGTCGCGTAATTATTACATTTTCCAGGGGTTTGGTTGGATGTTGTTCTTCTTTTTCGTTTTGTTGCCGAGAAGATAGAATAATAATATAAAGGAGATTGTTGTTGTTGTTGTTGCTGTTGTAACAAGAGTATGATGGCTGTTGGCTGGTTTCAAAGCGCGCGTTATACAATGCGAACAATACAGCCGACGTGTTTACGTTAATGCTACGTCCTCGAGGAATCGCGATTACAGAATGAATCTGAACGTGGTGTGTAAGCGTAAAGTGTATCTCTGGCAACGACGTTGTGTATAACGCTCAAAGGCGAATCGACGAAAAATAATAGCAAAACCAACAACAACAACAGCGGCAGCAGCGACGAAAACTAAACACCACACACAGATACTTGAGCACAAAAACATGTTCCCAGCCATGCACACACACACACACACACTCACAACCTAAAGAATCAAGCAAGCCTCGGCGGCAGCAGCGGCGATAGCGGCAACAAAAAGACAACACACAAAACGTAAAATCAAGAAATCCATACAAAAAATGAGCACAATGAGAAGATAGGAGAGTTACTTTCGATTAAAAATAAAAGAGCGAGAGCCAAAACTTGTACTGGCGGCCTACACACAGATACACACCAACACCACTGCGGCAAATAAAACAACAAAACATCTCCAGATACACACAATGCCACCGTACACAACACAACACAACAAAACCCAACTACCACCAGCAGCACCACGACGGCAAGGGCCAAAGACTGTAAATGAGAGTCTATCACACACAATGCCACCAACAAAGCCATGCACATACATGAGATGAGAGCAATATTTTGAGAGAGCCAACAACAGCGGAGGAATATGAGTGAGATAGTGTGAGTACGGTTAGTTTATCTCCAAGATGCATGCATTGCAAAATAAACAAAACAACCAAGTGGCAACGTACGCCGTCCACCACCTAATGGAGGGGAATTTGAATTTTGCCAAGTACGGCTGGAGTGCCCACCAAGCAATAATCTCATAATATTTTAAATCGAATCGTATATCGAGGCAAGAGAATCCAACATTTGTGAAATCTGTCAACAACAACCCCTTTTTACATTTACATTGGGCGCCACTCAAGGGGGATTCTTGTAATGTTGAGCTCTCGGAGAGTAAGATAATAATGGTTGCATGTAAATTCAGGCCGAGGAAATGTCATTGCATTAGGATTTCCATTACTTAAGCATCGATTGAGAACCTCTCTCATCTCGTTATTCCATTTTTTCAATTAACTATTATTTTGTTTTGTTTGGTGTGTCTCATCTTACGACGCCAAAGACTCGAAAGCAGATAACAGAAAAAGGATATACTAAAAAGTGGTAAAAATATCTGTAAGATATTTGAACAGAGAGATAGGTAGGCAGAGAGAGAGAGAAAGAGAGTGAGTGAGTGTTGGTATTTGGGTGGTGTACGAAACATTCCTAACTACATCTGGACAATGAACATTTTTCTTATTTACAATCATCCTCTTCTTTTTCTTCTTTGTCTTTGCCTTTATCTATCAACATTTTCACTTTACAATGATTCTTTGTTTTTACTTTTGTTCCATCGTTCTTTCTCCCTACCCCCCACCAAAAACAAACATTCTTTACCAGTTTTTTTTTTCTTTTTGGTTTTGTGGCGTAGCTGCCGCAGCATAAAAAATAATGATCAAAACTCGTTGGAAAATAGGAACAAAAAAAAGGTAAACACAAAGCAAAAGTAAAAAATAATAATAATAAGATATTATGCCAAGACAGAGAAAGATATACACCCGTAGATGTTCACGAAAGAGAGAAGCGAGAAGCAACGCCGCCGATAGTGATGTACAAATATTTGTGTGGCCAAGACAAAGGCAAGAATAGTTTCATTGTTACTCCAACAATTTCAAGTTGCTTTGGGAAAAGCAGACACGAAGAAAGGATTGCGCATTGAAGGGCACGCCACGCCACGCCACGAAAAGAAAAAATGATTGATAAATTATGAATAAAATAAATACAGCTCATTATTCAAAAGATTCACAAGATCATCTTGATGATCGTTGTCGTTGTACATGGCCATACGCATGATCAGCAGGAATAAAGATAGATAGACAAATAGTATAGGTATAGGTACTTACTTACAGTACAAAGTACATGGAATCATTTACATATGTACATATTCAAATAGCTCGAAACTTACCTGAAAAGAAGAAAGAAGAAGAAATAGAGAAATTAAAATTACCATCGAACAATCAATCATAATTTCTGGTTACAAAGCTTTTGTTGTTTTTTTTTGAATAAAATCCCTTTGTTAGGTTTTCTATTTAGTAGAATTGCATATGGTATATGTAAAATAAGACGAAAGAAAAAATAAACTTAATTTAACTCGACTTCGAGTCACTTGCTTCGTTTCGTTTTCATTTTCGATTTCCTTAGAAAAAAAACTGGGCATAAATTTAATATCACTGTAATGCTATTTCTGAGCAATTCTGTTCATATTTAATTTTTATACCACGTCTACACAATACTGAAATACTAATTTAATTTACTATTTTATGGAACCATGGGATGCAAATTTTAAATACAACTTACGAATACGGACACCAAATGGCGCCCAAATGTTCAGAACAAGGATATTTTCATTTATGCAGATTATAGCGATAAATCATTGAGAGATAGATCTGTATGATCCTTCGTATCTAAATTACAAATACAACGATTTGTTATGAAAATTTTTTTAAATTTTATTGAATTAAAGCATAAAAAGTCGGAAATAGCTTCAAATTTTAGAATAAGTTTAAGTTTGTTCGAATTGGTCGAATTATGGCCTTCAACAGCCAATGAAACTGTCACATGCTGCCCGAATGTTGCTCTGTGGTATTTTGGCCCATTCCCGGCGAAGCGCTTGCTTAAGGCGCTTTGGTATTTTTTAGTGCTAACTTTGCTTTCGAAAATAATCCAGACACAATAGTCCAACGGATTGGTATCCGGAGATTTGGGTGGCCATTGTGTGCTGGAAACGCGAGGAACCTAATTTTGTTACCATTCTTGGGTGACGCGTGCTGAGTGCGATGGCGCTGAGTCCTGTTGGAATGTCCCAGCTCCGCGGCCAAAATGTTTGCATGCCCAAGGCTTTAATATATTTTTGCGATAATATTCGGCCTTAATTCTAATGCCACGGTCGATTAATACTAGCGGAGAGCGAAGATCGGCTGTTTGGCAGCCCACACCATCACCAGGGCCGGCATTGAGTTCTGGTGGCCAACCGAAAGTGCACATTTTCAGCTGGCCTTCTTGGCAAGTAAATCTGATCGTTTTGTTTATTTTCTAATTGGTGGAAAACGAATGTTTTCTCATCGGAGAAACCCAAATTCGGCAGTTCACCACTTTCGGCTAAGCGAAGCAACTCTTTAGCTCTTTTGAGTCACATTTCTTTCCGTTGCGGTGTAAGTTCTTACACTTTTTGGAATTTCAATGGCTTTACCCCGAGCCCATTTTTCAATATTTGCCGAATGGAATATTGCGATATGTTCAGCTCACGAGCCATTTTTTGGACAACTGCGACGCGGGTTTCGAACAAGTCGGTTCTTTAATTTTCGAACCATTTCTGCTGATGTTGCTGCTTTCTTCCGTCCACTTCCTTGACGTCGGGCTACGCTTCCAGTATCGCGGTAACGAGCGATGGTACGAGACACAAAAGATTTATTCACATTTAAATGATGGAGTGCTCTAACGATACCCACTTGTGATTTCCAGTCAAATATAAATAAATCACATCATCACGCTTGAATTCCATCACGAATAACTTTTTTTCTGGAAAATTCTCACCAAAATGATTTTGTACGCTTGTAAACAATATAATGAGCTGTCACTGGAATAATTTTAACAGCTGTGGGACGAGTGTCTTAGAAATTACAGCAGTCTGAAGTTGGTTGCATTTTTTTGCATTTCAACCTGTATGTTTTTCGGAAAATCAAACCAACCCGCTATAACACATGAATGTCTTTTTCATATGATGTGATTTTCCTGAAAAGTGATTTTTAACATAAACTATTTGGCGTTGTGTGGACAAGTTGGTATTTTTTTAAAAAAAAAGGTTCATTATTCATTTAAATTACATTATTTCAGCATTCCTCAAAACCGTGAGCTAGCACATGAGTCCCAGAAAGAGATTACTTAAGAGAAACTAACAATTCTATTTTTCTTTATATTAATCCATTCATTTAAATTGTTTCTAAAGTGGGATGTTGTCCAGAATTATTGATAAAGGGAATTATTACAAAAAATTATAAATAATGACTTAACAGGGGTTTATTGATGACTTAAAAAAATAAGAGAAATTGGACTGGTGAGCGAGGACTGTCTTTTTTTGAGCAGCGCTGATTATTTGATTGTTTTTCAAAATTGTGAGCCCTTTCTCTGACCTTTGAAAATTGGTCAGAGATAGCAGAACAGGAAAAAATATGATTTTATCCAATTCATCCCCCAGATATTTTACGACCATCTCCAACAACTATTGACTTCCATTGTGACCCCATATCTAATCGGCCTTAATTCTTATCTGTAGAGTGACTATATATTAACACGGTCGCAGATCTGGTCAAATCGGACTTAAAATACCATCTTTGTAAAGTGTTGTTGGATATAAAAATTTTATATTTTTGCTTCAAATTTCGCAATAAATTAAAAAGGTGAGGCATATATTTATGTGGGAAACAGCTTTTTACTTGTTGGATTTTAAACAATACTGTTCGATAACGTGTTGCGATATTTATGCGTGGGAAAGTTATCGTACACACCTAATATCGTTTTCGCAGTTAAAAATTTCCGATATTCTTTGTTGAGATTGGCTATCTTACGTGCCCACTTCCAGATTTCTTAGGGTTCTTAGTTTTTGATCCAAGAAACTCTTAGATTTAAATCTAAAATGTTTTATCGATTTTTAATAGAATTTTTATATACTGATGAATCATAATTTTGGGATACTGTTCTATCTGTCGAAGCAAAAAAAAAAAAAAAACATAGGAGAAAAAACATTGAGGAACTTTAACTTTTGAGACATTGAAAAATCATAAAATATGTTCAAGTGAAAACAAAGAATTAAGTTTTCTTTTCAAATGGAGCTTCATTGTTTCGCGCAGAGTTGCAATGACAGTCAGTACCCACGACTTGCTATTAATTTTCTTTTCTGTAAAGATGCACAACAACCACAACAACAACAAATGCACAATAACGATGCCAGCGACGACGACTACAACAAAGACAGCGATAACATCGACCAGCAATGTTGTTGCAGCTGTTTGCGTTGTATAGTTGCGATGATGATTTTTTCTGGGCAGCTAGTTGTGCCGTTGTTGTTGTTATTGTCGTTTCTTTTCTGTGTGTTTCGTTGCTCTTTTTATTTCTTACTATCATTATTCTCTTTTATTGTTGTTGGTTTAATTCTTGGATTTTTTTGTTGTAGTTTTTTTTTGCAAAGTTTGCTTTAAATGTGTATAAAATTTCAAAATATACCCA